TCAGGCTTCCAACGAGGGGAGTATGTTGGATTCTGCAGCAGCCTCATCAAATAAGCATAAGCAAACATTCATGTAAACATAAGAGGAGGCTGTAATTTTGGTCTAGTGGAACAGCTGCCTATTATAAACAAGGTTGGCAAGCCTTTCTTGCACTTGTCGCAGCATACTTGCATATTCCTTTTTTGTCTGCTCGCTCAGTTCGTTGTTGATCGAGGCGAAGCGAAGAACCAATTCTGAGCCACAGCCAAATAACCTTATAATCTGCATAAATTTGCCTAATAAACTGAATAATAACGTGTTGTTGTGAAAGGCCAAAATTTACTTATTTCTTGGTTTAGGTTCTAAGCAGTTGCTTAAAAACATTAGTAACTCAACAATGTCCTTTTCGAATTATTTGGGATCTGGCTGGCAGAAGAACTGTATTTTTGCCAGCACAATATATTATCGGAACATAAATAGGATAATTTAAATTTTTAAGTTCTAATTATAAACCAGTCTTCAATTGGTTTGAAGTCTAATTGACAATTGAATTTTTCAATTAAATCAATGCCTATTATTCCATCGCATGGTATTGAAAATTCTGAATCCACTAAATGAAATTCGTGTGGAATAATATATTTTGCTGATTGTAGTTCTATTGAAGTTGTTCCTCGAGATTTTATTACACCTTGGCCTATGCCTTGGATGTTTATAATTTTTTATATCTGAGTTTATTTTTAAAAGAGAGATATCTGCACCAGTATCTATTAGGAATGAGAGTTTATTTTCAGTTGAATGATTATAAAATGTGACAAATATATTATGACTGTAATTGATGGAATGAACTTTTGCATTTACTGGATGTTTGCCCCACTCTCACATTGTTATTATTATTATCTTGGTTGTAATTACCTCGCCCTCTTTCTCGATTTTGGCCTCGTCTTTCGCCACGGTTATTGTAATTATTGTTGTTGCTGTTGCTACCGCCTCAGGTGTAATTGTTGTGGTTTTAATTTCTGCCACATTTATAGCCACTGCAACCCCTATAATTGTTGTTTGCACCTTGTCGATAATACAGGACAGTGTTACAACTGACAAATTTGGAAACGGCATCGTTCATATTTGTGAATGTGCGCATGCATGATAAGTTGTACCTTATCAATTGAACAATTTTGGGACAAAGCTTTTACTGATGTTGTAGTGCTGTATTTGCTTGCAAGTGATTGGCTTAGACCTTCTCTGATAAAGGAGCCTTCCTGTTTGGTTTCGATTGGATCGCTTTCTTCTAGTGTTTCAATGTCACTATCAGATTCAGCATCGCTTGGTTAAATTGATTCGTTTAATACTATTAATTGGTCGTTTATCTGAATATGTCGCCTTTTAGAGTAATCAGTAATCAATCTTGTGTTCAGGAATTTTATTACCCTTAAATATTTACTATATTAAAGCAATTTGCTTTCTGAAAATACCCAGACTTTCTATAGTACATTAAGATATACCATAGAAAATTTCATGAAGATCGGTTAAGAAACACATGTGTACGGCACCAGCGCAAATTCTAAGAATATCTGTATGCATGTACACACACATTTATGCGCGGCTGCTTCGTATTTATCAACAGCAATATAATACCTATCGCCGCTTCTACCTGATAGCTATAAATCAAGTTAACAACCCAACTTTCATTGCCCACCAATCTGAGCTAGAAATTTAATGCAATCGACTTTTTGAGAATTCACAAATATTTAATGGTACATTTAGATATACCATAGAAAATTTCATGAAGATCGGTTAAGAAACACGTGTTTGCGGCAGCAGCGCAAAGTCGAAGAGTACCTGTATGCATGTACACACGTACATTTATGCGCGGCTGCTTCGTATATATCAACAGCATTTTATTTGCCTTTGTGTAGATTCCTGTTTTACTATGATAATTGGTTTAATGCTCACTAATTCTCGATTATTAGTGTGGTTCTTGAGTGGACGCAGTGGCAAGTGGTATGGTTAGTCGCGAGTTCGAACCCTGCCACGGGAATTCAACTATTTATACACTGAACCCATTGAAAATGGGTTTAGAGGGTATATTGTGTTTGTGAAAAATGTAACATACATTTACACCAGGCAGTAGGAAGTATCTCCGACCTCATAAAGTATATACTATATTCTTGATCAGCATCAACGCAAAATCTTGGTAACTATAAGAGCTAGAGGCTTGATATTTTAGCTGTAGGTCCTCTTAGTACATGCGCGGATCGAGTTCGCTTTCGATAATCGATAACTTCCTCCGTTTGCAAGCAATCTATACAAATCGATATCGAAATCCAGTTTTTTCAGAAAATATGAAAATTAATAAGAGCTAGGTCCACCAAAATTAACATGTTTACAATAGAATAGTATATATATATCAAGTATCATTAATTTTATACCTATCACCACCTTCCCGCTACTACCTCATAGCTATAAATCATGTTAATAACCCAACCTCCATTGCTCACCAATTTAAGCTACAATTTTAAAGCAATTTGCATTTTGAGAATACACAGATTTTCTATGGTAAATTAAGGAATACTGTAGAAAATTTCATAAAGATCGGTTAAGAAACACGTTCTTGCGGAACCACCGCAAATTCGAAGAATATCTGTATGCATGTACACAATCATTTATGCGCGGCTGCTTCGTATTTATCAACAGCATTATAATTTAGCCATTTAAAATGGATAAAAAGGATATATTGTACTTGTGCAAAATGTAAATGTATATAACAGGCAGAAGCAAATATCACCGACCTCATATGAAATTGTAATATAATTTCTAACAGACAATTTCATCTGGAGAGTCTGCTCCTTAGTGTTACCTAATTCAGAATGATTCTTATATATTCGTGCTGGGTTCAGCTAACCCGAAACATGCAATGCTATATCTATGTCTTATATTTATGTGTAAGCATATTAGTGTATATATGTGTATGCAGAAGGCATATATATGTTGTGTATATCTTGACCACTTGAGCTGCAAAGTGCATGCTCAGCATTCCCACGCGCTACGATCGGCATGTATATAAGTGGTGGATCGTATGAAATATGCGCTGGTGTGTTTATATGTTTAAGTGTGGTCTTTTGGGTATTTGTATGTATTTACTGATATTCCCTTTGATTATTACTGGCAGGGTAGGTGTTCATGCCAGTTCAGTGCTAGTGTGAACACAGCATTGACTGAGCCTCACTCAGCGTGAGAGAGTCACTCAGTGAGACAGACTCATTCACTGAGAGAGACTCACTCACTAAGTCGATCCCAGATGCGCTCAGCACTCTCCTGGTGGTCTCCTTTCCACCTCCATCACTCCAACCAAAAATATGTAAAATCACTTAACCAGCAGAGTTTGTTACATGCAGCAGAAACTTCTAATAAAGTGCTTTTTTTCACCAACAACAATAATCAAGGATTATTTATCTGACGCCACCCCCCAAACCATTGGTCCTTCGAGCCGGATTATATATAAACCGATCGCACCTACACAAGTTTTTTGGTAAAGATAAGTAAATACAAAATTTTCTTTCTATATTTATTCGGCAATATCCGCCATATTTTTTTTCTTTAAGAAAACTGATTGGTAATTTTCTTAATATATATAAATTATCCGACCACAAAACTAAAAACAGTTTAGTTAAATTTTGTGTTAGTTACTTCCAAATACAAAAGAAATCCACTTCAACATTTTTTGTATGTACATACGTACGCACTCGTGCACTTTCCTAAATATAAAAAAAAATTCATTTTTTTAATTACGTGTCCGCACTTAATCCGACAAGCTGCTACACAATATTGTTTCCTAATTAATATTGTTAATTCATGTTCTTGGTCCGACACACAAACATACACCAGGTTCACCAGCACGTATTGTACATACATACATACATACATACATATATTCAATCCGAATATAATGGCCCATATGCATTTTGAATAGACACTATATTTAACCTTATTATTTAATAAACACAAGCTCCAATTCATTTTCCTAACTTATAATTGTGCATAGTGCAAACGAATATATTTGTGCAACCAAATAGTACATACGTCCGATAAATAAGTCCACAAATCATATGTACTATGTGTGTCCACATATAATATTTTTTAGTGCACAATCCACAGCAATATTATAACAATAGCAATATTATAGTAATAAATTGCAATTTCAACCGGCGTATGTGCGTATGTACACACCACACACATATGTAAAAACCACAGCTGCCGATCCGTACTCCAATTACACGTTTTTATGCAATTGCACACATTCCCATACAATTACTCTTGTTCCGAGACACACCAAATAAAAACACAACAATCATAATATATAGATTAATAACACTACTAATTTATTGTAAATAAACAAAAACACTACACATTAACTTCGAAGTTCTACATTTGTCAGCGGTGTGTACTCAGCCACAATAGTGGGTATTTTATGAGTACCACAAAAAAGTAAAAATAAACAAACCGTTACCGTATTCAAAGACTAATATAATAATAAAATTATCGAAAACGAGCATCGAATTCTTTATTATTATTTCCCGTGTTTAATAAATAATATTATTTTTTTAAACTACCAAGTCAAATAAATTTATTAATTAAATTTATTAAATCAAATAAATTTTGATTTTAAGCAAAATTATTTAAATCTTCCGCAATCTCAATCGAATTATAAACTCGATTATTTACCTGTACCGGCATTCCTGTCCGCTATCTGTTCAGACATTTGGTTAATTCTTTGAATTAACTCTTGTTCTCGCTGTTGGTTTGCAGCAGCTTGCTCAGCTAAGGCGCTGGAGATGGCCGTTTGCATTATTGCCCTGAGTTGTTCAGCGTTCATGTTGCAATTTGACAAAATATGCGTTCTTGCAATTTGCTTTAAATACAAGTTACAAAAAATCTAGCTTATCTATCAATCAAAGCTCTCAATGCCGTATAACTTATTATTATTATTTTTCTTTATAGATTTATAATCGAGTAATAGGTAATAGCGACAGCGCAGCTTTGATGACACCGAATCGACAGATGGCTATAATCTGCCCTATGCGGCGGCGGGCACCATGCGCTATGAGAACATCTACGAGCAGATACGCGATGAGCCGTTGTATCGCACCACAGCTGCAGCGGCAACAAGTCGCGTGCCGCTCTATACGCGCCTGGATGTGCTGGGCCATGGCATCGGACGCATCGAACGGCATCTGAGCTCCTCCTGCGGCAACATAGATCATTACAATCTGGGCGGACACTATGCGGTGCTGGGACATTCGCATTTCGGCACCGTGGGTCACATACGTCTGAATGCGAATGGTGCTGCAGCAGCCAGCAATAATGCCAGCACCTGCACTGTGCCCAATTGCCAGGGCTATCTGGCTGGCGGTGGTGTTGCTAGCGCTGGTGTTGGTGGTGCAAGTGCTGCTGCCGCTGCTGCTGCTGCAGCCGCCGCAACGGCGGGCATGGACTATGGCCATGTCAAGGTGCCGGTCAAGAATAGCGCCTCTTCCTTCTTCAGTTGCCTGCATGGCGGGAACTCGCAGAGCATGACAAACATATATAAAACCACGGCTGCTGCAGTTGCTGCGGCACACCACTGTTCACCACTGACGCCCAATGTCTCCATGGAGCGTGCGGCACGCTCTGCATCCGCCGGACCCGCCACAGCAGTTATAGCAGCAGCAGCTGCTGCAGCTGCCGATGAGCAGCAGCTAAGCGGCGGTGGCGACAGCGTGTGCAGCTCGACCACAGCAATGCGACCCACGGGCGCTATACCCAAAATAAAAACCACCAGCAAAGCGGCCAAGGAGTCCAGCACAGCAGCAACTGCTGCCAGTTCGAGTGGAACCGAGAAGTCAGCAACTGGAGCGGCGCCCAAGAGCGCTGCGCTGGCCAAGAAAACAACAATGGCAACAACAACTGCAACGCGCTCGAACTCCTCCTCCTCGGATGCCGGCAATGGCACCTTGAATCGCATCTCCAAGTCCAGTCTGCAGTGGCTGCTGGTCAACAGTGGATGCCACTGTGGATTGGCCAGGGACCCGAGTGCAAGGTTATTGACTTCAACTTTATGTTCTCGCGCGACTGCGTCAATTGTGACACCGCCTCGGTGGCCTCACAAATGTCCAATCCGTATGGCACGCCACGCTTGGGTCTCGGCACACTGCCGCAGGACATGATGCGCTATCAGGGCAGCACCGCCAGCATGCGACGGGATGCCAATGGAGCTGCTGCTCGACCGCTGCACAGCAATTTGAGCCGCTTGCGTTGCGGTGCCGACAAGCGTCAGAACCTGACGGCAGGCAACAGCTGCAGCAGCAGCAGCTATCGTCATGAGGATCCCTTCTATGAGAACGTGCACGTACAGTGGCAGAATGGCTTTGAGTTTGGACGCTCGCGCGAGTATGATGCCAGCTATAATCAACAGCAGCGGCCGCTGCTACAACGCACACGCTCTGAGAGTCCCACGTTCAGCAATCAGCAGCGACGCATGCAGAGCGCCGCGGCACAAGTGCAGGCACAGAACTGCCAACAATCAGCCAAGCTGGCCGATCCTTTCAAGAACTACGAACTGAATGTGGATAACAATAGTTTTAAGCCCAAGCAGCCGGCGGCAATGGAGCTGTGCGATGAGCTGGAGGGCGCTGTCGGTGGTGCAGCTGCCGAATCGGATGCAGAGCAAACGTTTGAACCCCCAAATCCGAGTGATAACGAGACTGAAACAACGACTTCAACAACAACAACAACAACAGCAACAACAACAAACAGCCAACAGCATAACAATGCAAATGCCGCAACGTCTAGCAACAACAATGCAAGCACTCAAGAAGCAAACGACTAAAAAACATATTTCGATATATATATAAAAAAAAGTATGATTAGCATACGTTACATGCAGTTGGAAAATTTACGATTTTATTTTATCTAAGCATAAAAAAAAAGTTAACTATTTAGTCAAACAAACAAACAACTACTGATATTGTAGAATTTGATACATTGTGATTCTAGGCGTTTAAATGAATCTGCCAAACCTCGAATATATAGCCTATTTACCAGACTTTTAGATATATATATATATATTAATATGTATGTCTCTCTCTCTCTTCAAATAGCTAAAGCATTTGAACGCGGTCATTTAAGAGTAGTTCTCATTACTACATCTAGAAAAACAAAGAAATGCCGAGACGCAACATGCAATACAAAAGCGCCATATCATGCACATTATATATACATATACATACTTAGGTACATAAAACATATAGACATTTTATAGAAATATAAGCAATACGCATTTGATATTTAATTTTGAAATGTTCCAATACAAATTGTTGTGTTATTTTTTGATGGCACGGCAAACAATTCCACTGCCCCAATCCACCCTCAAATATGAATTATATATGCTTACCTATCATTATTTATTAATGTTATTTTGGATAGGGGCGTGCGCCCCCATTGATATTGGCGTTTGTTATGTGCACGCGCTTTATTCACATTGTGTGCGTTCAGTTTTTCGGAGCTTCCCAAGCAAAAAAAAAAAAAAAAATTGAAAGGAAAAACCATTATGAACTATCAGTTAGGTCAATTAGCATAACAGGTATTATTTACATGCATACTACTTATATACATACTATACACATATATATATACAAAATATGTGCTTTTTTTTAAATTTTTTTTGAATTAACTTGAAAAGAGTTAAGGAAAAGCCCACTTACATGATTCTAAGACAACTACTAAAGGGGAATTAAGCTCCAACGCCGCAGTCTTCGTTGTCCAGATAGCTTCAGTGGCCTCTGTGGCCTGTGGCCTCTGACACCAGAGTGTCTTTACGAGGTCGAAGTTGTTAATTTATGGTAATTTTCTTTCGTTATTACCACCAGTTGGGCGCCAATTATATCAATCTGCTGGTCCAGCGATGCGATAGTTGATCCGTCTCTCGTCCAGTGATGCCTAGTCCAGTGATATTTAGGACGATTATGGTCGAGAGTTTGACTTCACTCTCTTTGCTAATTACTGGCCTTGTGGCAATGTTTTTGCAAGTTTATTCTTAAACGTCGAATACAAAACTAAATTGTGGTATAAAATTGAATTGGAATTATACCTAAAACTTGGATCTATAAACTACAAAGCTACAGTCGGCAAGCCGACTCAGCATAAGCGACAACGCGGATAGTTGCAGCATAGTCAAGTGTCAGGTTACCGCTGCTCACCGTAGCGTTCAGGCCGCTGAACTCATGTGTCAGCGGAATGTGCTAGGTTGTAAATGGGTCAATATAAGTATTGTGCAAGTTTCTTATACAGCGTTATTTTGGTGCAATTCTTAAGTGTTAACTTATATATATATAAATCGAGTATTATTCATTATATACCTATAGCCTTTTAGCATTGAGAAATAAGAAGAAAGAAGTTCGACTTGTCTATGGAATATTTAGCCAAGTCTGTACACGAACCAGACTTTTTAAACTTTTTAATATATTTGGATTTTACATTTTTTAGATGTGATAATCTGGGAGTAAACCAGGGTGGTTTTGAAAAAGTAGGCGAAGGAATTGACTTAGGAATACACACATCTAAGAGGGAGTTTAGGGTGATATAAAAAAATTAATGGCTGTATTCATATCAACTGAGTCATATAAGAGCTGATGAGCACGAAATGAAAGGATTACAATTTAGCATTGTAATCTCTAAATTTGGATGATAGACATCCTCAGGAAGAAATAAAGGAGGGGACCTAAACACATTAGAAATAAGGTAGTCGTTAACAAATACAAGGTCAAGTGTTCTATTCATATGATTAGAAATTGAATTGATTTGAAACAACGAAAGATCAAGCATGCAGTCTATAAAATCGTGCTGTGCTGAGGGCACAAGATAATTTTCAGCAGTGAATAATGACCAAGAGATGTTCGGCAAATTAAAATCATCAAACAGCATTAATAGGTCATTAGCACGCACGTGTGAAGAAACTTCTTTAATACAAGTAATATGATTCATATAAACTTGAATATCAGAAGAAGGTGGGACATAAGAGCATGTTACATAGATATTCCGTGTAGGAAAAGACACCTTAACTGAGACTATCTCAGCGTCAGTAGGCGTACTAAAACAGAATAGTTCAATTAACACCCCACCACCAAAGTTATTCGGTAAAATCTCAAAATCAGATATGGTTGAGTTTAACCATGTTTCTGAAAATGCTATTATATCCGAATCGAAGGAAGTGATGGCCATGAAAAGATTTTTAAGGTTTGAAATGAGACCTCTGACATTCTGATAATGAATAAAGATTTGGTCAGAAGATGAAGCTAGTTTTTTGAGGCAGAAATGGTACCCTGTATTGAACGGACTGGAAAAGTGAAAAGGCTGGTTACGCTTTTTAGGCTTGAACTCGTGAACAATCATGTGTGGAGGCCAAAATTGGGATCATAAATGATTGGGAACATGTCATGTGAAACATTTATTTTGAATGATGATTTTTCACGAGGGGTGGAGAAATTAAATTTGCAGAAGATTTGCTAGCAATATAGGCTGCCAATGACTCAGAAGTGGTGTCCGACGAAAGTCGACGAGGGGCAACTACCGTTAAAGTAGGCGCTGATGGGGCTGTACGTAATACAGGAGTTGGAGGAGCTATCGAGGCACAATGATTGTTTTTAACAATCTGGGCAAGATTGCGCGCAGGTCTACCTTTACGGCCAGGAGCTGACGGGGCTGAGGCAGTGTGATTAATTGGGACGGGATCAGGTACGGGCTCTACTGGGACTAGTACAGGGGTTGAAACAGGGGTAATTGGACAGTCGCTTGGAGAAGGCGATAAAGACAACATTGGAGATACCTCCAAGTTGCTAGGACGGGACAAGAAAGTCGTAGGTGTCTGAACAGACGTAGAGGGCAATTGCAAAAGTTGAGGCTCCAACCGGCGATTGGTTGGGGACTCAAATTTATATTTGCCAAGCAACTCGAAACTCGAGTCAAAATTACTCGAGAGCTGCTTAGCCACATTATTTAATTTTAAGAATTGACTTCTCACAGAATTATATATTGTGAAGAAATCAATTTGCTTGTCGATGCATTCTGGGCACGACCAACGCAAGCCACCGCAGCCTTTCTTGGCAATAGCAGCGATCTTGTCGCAATCACGCCCAGTGATTAGTCTTCTTTTTCTTTTTGAATTTGGTTTTGTAATGTGTCTGTGATCTGTCTTAGTTCTCCTGTTTTTTTGATTGGGGTTGTCGTCTTTCATTTAACTAATGGTGAATGTTTGTATCTAGTGTCAATTTCATAATTTGTTCGTTTTTTTGTTGAGGTTATTTATTAGTTTTTCTTTATTAGCTTAAGTATCATACTCTGCTAGTCGTTTTGTGCTTTATTTTATGATTGTACGTGTAGAGTATAGTATCAAATTTTGTAAGTTTATTTTCGACGTCTGAATCGCTGTTCATGATTCTTAATTTTTCGTTAACTGTCTTATGAAATCGTTCTACGTCGGATATACCATTTTTCCTAGTGCTTATATTAATATATACTGCTTCTGATTTTAGCCATAATTGTAAGGCTGTGCATATAAAAGCTGAGTCATTGTCTGCTTTTATTTCGATGGGTTTACCCATTTGGTTGAACACTTGTATTATAGCTCGTTTGGTTTCTAGCCAGTCTCTACTTTTTATTTCTATTAATGATGCAAATTTTGAATAGATATCAATGCAAGATAAAAATTGTTTATCTCCTACTATGTAAAAATCCATTACATATTTTTCTCGGATATTAGCGATTTCCGGAGCTATTTTGAAAGTTTGAAAGTTTTTGTATCTCTGTGTTCTGTTTTTGCGATGTTGCAAATCTCACATTCATTTATTTGATAATCTGGGAAATAGTGGGTTTCTTTGAACCAATTGATAGTTTTTCCAATTCCTGGATCTAATAATTCTTTATGTTTTTTTAATATTAGTTCTTTAAATTCTGCGAATGCATTTTTACTAGTTTTCATTGCCTTTGTTGAATTATTCGGACTTATAATAATAAGTAGGCTTCTTGAAAAATTGGAAAATCTGCTTCGTTCTGGAAGTATAGCACACTTTTCTTTGTGCATAAGTATTCTTTTATTAATTCTTTGGCATGCGCATTAGTCATGTCTTTGTATGTCATTTTTATGTTGGTTTTATCAAAGTAATTCGTAGCTTTTGTTTCGTTCTCGGTTCCTTTTTCAAATTCTATTTGTCGATTATAATAATTAAGAGGTCTTTCTGTGATTTATAAATGGTTACTGTTGTCCTCTTGAGCACTATGTATTGTTGCTCTTGTGCTAATTGTATCTTCGCCTAAGAAGTTTTCGTTTAATTGACTTCAGGACAGAGCATCTGCCACATCATTTTCTTTTCCTGAGACGTATTTAATTTGGAAATCAAGCTCATACAGCTTGATTTTCCATCGTTGTAATTTCATGTTAGGTTCTTTCATGTTATTTAACCAGACGAGTGGTCTGTGATCACTAAGGATTTGAAATTGTCGACCAAAGAGATAGCACCTAAAGTATTTATAAAGTATTTTGGCCCAAACGATTGCTAATAATTCTTTTTCAATCGTTGAATAATTTATCTCATGCTCGTTGAGAGTTCTACTTGCATAGCATATAGGCTTATGCTCTTGCGAAAGGATGGCCCCTATTGCCACATTACTCGTGTCTGTAATTAATAAAAATTGTTTTTCGACGATAGGGTATATTAAAATTGGGTCGGATGTTATAAGTACTTTTAGCTTTTCATACGCTAATTCTTTGTCATTTGTATTGGTACTATATTAGCGAAATTTGGTATAAATTTCCTATAGAAACCACAAAATCCT